TGCGTTGGGTGTCGAGGGCGTGCCGGAGCTCGCGTTCCCGGAGGCGGCTCGAAAGGCGGCTCCAGCGGAAGACGCGGTGCGCGCTCTTCATGCGGGCCAGTTGCGCCAAGGCTGCGCGGAGTTTCACTTGCTCCTCGGCGAGCACCATCTTCTCGTGGTCCATGGCAGTCGCCATTTCGACCATATTGGTCTTGTAGGCCCGAATGCGCTCGTTGAGGAGAACGCCGCCGATGAGGTCCTCGGTCGTCGAAAGGAGTTGCGGCAGCGCACTGCGGATGTGGCTTTTGCAGCGACAGAGCTTGGACGAGAGGACTGCCAACGTCGAGAGCGCGGTCGTCGGTAGCGCCGCCACCGTCACGACATGGTCTTTCCATTGCAGCAGCTCGTCGAGCGTGCCCAAGAGCATGTTCGTCCAAGTGTCGACCGTCGCACAGAGCTACACAAGCTTGATGTGAGCACACAGCGGCGTACCGCAGTGTACCTGGCGCTGGCCCGCGGCCTCGTCGTCGCCTGGCAGCGCCGGATCCATCGCATACGAGTCACCTACGAGCCGTTGGTAGACGTACGAGGCTTCTTCGTACCGTAAGGAAACGCATGTGTCTCGTAGTCGAGGAAGAAGTCCCGCGCCGCCTCGCCACCCGTTGCGATGGCCGGTAGCCCAAGCCCGTTCATCCTCGTCGAGGAAAGGGCGCGGGATATCCGTTATCCAAACTGAGAATGTATGTACAGCGTCCTGTGCCTTGTCCCGTGGTAGATCGCACACTGCCGTCGCCTACTCGACTCGACCGACGCACCATTTTATCGCTGGATTATAGTGCGCAGCGCAGCCCTCGCATGGAGCTCGACTGGCGCGGCGTCGGGAATGGCAGAGGTCGAGTTGCGTGTGCTTAGATTCGAGACGAGTGATGGTCGTCGACTTGATTGGCCATGGCCAATTGCTGCGATGCGCTGCCACTACGAGGTGCTGGGCGTCGCCCGCGACATCTCGGCCGCGGACCTCCGCAAGGCCTTCTTCAAGCTCGCGCTGAAGTGGCATCCGGACAAGATCAAGCCCGACCAGAACGTCGAGGAGGCGACGACCATCTTCCAGGAGATCCAAAGCGCGTACGAAGTGCTGAGCGACCCTCAAGAGCGGCAATGGTACGACGACCACCGCGAGCAAATCCTCCGCGGCGACGACGGCGACGACCATGCGACCGAAGAAGATCCGCTCGACCTCATGCGCTACTTCAGGTATGACCTCTTCTCTTTCGCTGGTTCCAACGGCTCGTCCTTTCCAGCCCGACGGTCTACAAGGGCTTCAAGGACGACGACGTTGGCTTCTACAGCGTGTACCGCACCCTCTTTGAGCAGGTAGCGTATCGCGTTGCGCAAGACACGGATGACAGACGATGCACTAGATCGATGCGCTCGACCAAGAGGCGCGCGGTGACAAGCTTGCGGCCCCGTCGTTTGGCTCGTCCAAGTCGAACGTGGCGACCGACGTCAACAGCTTTTACAATTACTGGCGCGCGTATGCGACGGACCGGTCGTTCAGCTGGCTCGACTTGTACAAGACGACGGACGCGCCGACGCGCGAGATCCGCCGGCTCATGGAGAAGGACAACAAGAAGGCGCGGGACGGTGGCAAAAAGGCCTTTAGCGCCAACGTGCGCGCGCTTGTCGAGTTTGTCCGCAAGCGCGACAAGCGCATGGCCAAGTACCTCAAGGAGCTCGAGGCTGCAAAGGAAGCCGCGGCGAAGGAGAAGGAAGCGCTCGCCAAGGAGAAGCGCGCGGCCTTCGAGGCCGAGAAGGCGTCGTTCCAGGCGCAGTGGGAAGCCGACGACGACGTCGTCCACGCGCACGTCGAGGCGCAAGTCCGCGCCGAGGTCGCCAAGCGCGTCGCCAAGCAAGAGGCGATGATCCTCGTTTGCGACCTCTGCAAGAAAGAGTTCAAGTCGGAGAAGCAGGTCGAGAACCATCTGAAATCCAAAAAGCACCGCGAGCAAATGATTGCCAGCGGCCTCGACCCGTCGATGCTCGACGAGCTGCTCGAGCTCGAGAGCAGCGAGAGCGCCGTGCCGGGCGCCGCCCGCGACGACGACGACGAGGGCGCGAAGAAGCCGAGTGCCAAGAAGGAGATGAAGGCCGTTAAAGTCGCGGAAGAGGACGAAGCGAAGCGGAGAGAGCGCGAAGAGAAAGACAAGAAGGCCGCCGAGAAGCGCGCCGAGCGCAAGGAGAAGCGCAAGACGACCAAGAAGGACGACGGGAAGAAGGAGGTGCCGAAGAAAGACGAGTTGGACGACGACGACGAGTTCCCGTGTGGCTCGTGTGCCATGGCCTTCCCGACGCTCAAGATGCGTACGGTCTTATGGAGTCATGTCATGGGACTCATTGTATGCTGCGTAGTGCAAAAGCACACCAAGAAGGAAGGCCACGAAGAGCCCAAGCGACGAAAGTAGAGGAAACCTGCCGGAGCGCCGTCTCGTCCCAACCACATTGCGTTCGAGCAAAAGATGTTTTGGATTTTTTGGTTCGTTGCTCACACGCAATGATCTTCGTATCAAGTCGGACGCATCAAGCGACGCTCGTGTGGCACTCGGGGCAGTTGGCCCCGACCGAGAGGCGCTGCATCGAGCCGGCGATCCACGCATCGACGCAGCCGCGATGCATGTGCCCGCATGTCGTCTTGCGCTCGAGCTTCGTCTCGCCGATAGCGTCCTTGCAGAGCGCACACTTGGGCTCATCGCGTAGCGGCTTGACCAAGAGCACGAGTGCGCGCCAGAGTACCATGTTGCTGTCGTCGCCATCAAAGACATGGTACCCGCCGGTCGTCGGCAGCGACTTCCAGCCAGATGCCATGTGCATGTCGGAGCCCGCCTTGATGCCTTCGAAGCGCCACTCGCACTCTAGAAGCCGCACGACCGCGCTTCGATGGCTTGGTCGCACTTGGGGCACAGAGCCGAATGGGCCAAGATGTTGAAGGCCTTGAAGTTGACAGGAGCAATCACTTCCTTGCCGTACGCCTTGCACGCCTCGTTGGTGCACTTGCCGTGGATGTTGAGACCGCGCTTGATCGTGCGCCAACTTGGCGCAGACGACGAGATGCGCGCCGTATGCAGCGTGCTTGCATCCGAGACATCGGCAAATAACGCCACGGAGCCTCCACCGCGGAGGCGGAGGACGATATCTAGCGTGGATTCCGGTGCAATGCCATAGTCTTTCATCGCTCGATCTTCTTCAAGCCGCTTGCCTGCGAAGATCAAGCGCTGCTGATCGATCGGAATGCCTTCAATCCGCAAGATCTCTTGCATCGCCTCGACGACAAGCGAGTCGAGTGTGATGTCGAGCGTGATGACTTTTCCAGCCAAGGTCTCGATGAAGATCTGGACCGTTTTCCCGCCAGGGCGGACCATGGGCATGTCGAACACACCAAGCACCCAGCGCAGATGTCCCGTGCGCAACGTCGGTATGAGCGGCACAATCTCGTCGCTGTCCGTCGTGTCGTGGAACATGAGCTTCGAGTAGATGCGCACGCCGACACCCAGCTCCTCGAGCTTGGAGCGGAGCAGCGCCTTGAGGCTCGCGACCGTCATCGTCGGCGTGAGCTCATCATCTTCAACGAGCAGGAGCCCGTCGAGATGCGCCGAGACCTGTCGCTTCCACCCGACTTGCATCCTGGGCCGCAAATCTGCTACTGCAAGCCGCTTGCTTGCCGCCGATTTTTTCGAACGGTCGACAGAATGACGTGGCGCGCTCAGGGCGTGTGTGATGGGCGCGATGTGCGCTGATTGGACAAAAGTATTTTGATGGAGAAATAAAAATATGCCGTGTTCAGTATTGAAAAAGGAGAAATCAATTTAATGTAACAATTCGGGGCAGCCAAAATCCAAAAGCGCGGGAGCGGCCGTTGTGGTGACCGCGCTGTCGAGGCGACACAGTTAAGATTTCAAATGGCTCTGATAGTACGCATCGGGCAGCAATATCTCAATCGTGAAAGGTCGCAACCACGGTGACGACGACGGCTACGTCTCGAACCTAGGCTCGTGGGCGTTAAAGGGTTCAAAGTTGGGTTTGTCGGCCCTTGCTAGAACGCTTGGCGTGGCATGAACACGTGCACACGTAAGTTGTTACAAGTATTAGCATCAATCAAGACAGCGGGGCAGCTAGCACCCACGTCGCGCCGCGCGGCCGATGCTGCAATCCAAGTCGTTGCACAACCTTCGTGCATGTGCCCGCAGATCATCTTATCTGTGGCGAGGTACATTTTGCAGAGAGCACGCCGTGGTAATTGGACTCCCGATGGCTTGACCAGCAGCAGTAAGGCGCGCCAGTTTGCCATGTTGGCCTCGTTGTCGTTGAAGCGATGGTACGCGTCATCGGATGGAAGCGACTTCCAGGCCGACGCGACAAACTCGCACGTGTCGGCCTTGATCCCTTCGAAGCGCCACACGTACGCGTAGAAGCCGCAGCGCGTTGCGCGACAACGTTGAACGGCTTCATGCCGATCGGTGCGATCACCTCGTGCACGTGCCGTGTAGGTTGAGACCCTTGGTCACGACGCGCCAGCTCGGCGTCACGACGCGCCAGCTCGGCGCCGAAGTTAAGAAGGCGGTGGAACGCATAGTTTTGTCGTTGGTGACACCGCCTCGCAGCCGCTTCACGCTGAGCAACGTGCCACCGAGCTGAATGCCGTAGGCCAGCAAGTGCTTGCGGTCGTCCAGTTGGCTGCCGGCTTAGAGCATGCGCTGCGAGTCGGCGGGCTGGCCTGTCCGGTCTTGAATCATCTCCTTGATGGTCGCCACCGACGTCGACGGAGTGACGTCGTCTCGCTCATGAACGACTTGACATGGACGCACGTCGCTTGTTCCAATGCGCAACGTCCAGCGCACGCCTCCCGTGCTCAGCGTCGGCTCCATCGGCGCCAGCATCATGTCGTTGCGGAGGACCGTGTCGTGGAACTTGAGCGACGGGCTGCACGCGCTCACCTAACTGAGGTCACGTAGCTTGGCGACGAGGTGGGTCGCGAGATCTTCGACGATTTTGATCGATGAGAGCTCGATCTTGTCAACGTGCAAGACGCCGTCAAGGTGCGGCGATGAGGTTTTCATCCACGCGTCATGGTGCCAATCGATTTATGCACTGCGCTCTCTTCGCCAATCAGTCGTTTGAAGCTGAATTCAGGGGTTGAAGCGTGGAGCCGATGCGACCTTTCATCGGAGACTCTTTAAAAGCAAGATTGCTGCAATCGTCGCTTGACTGACATGGCGATCCCAGAGCAAGGGTACACGGGGTGGGCGCATACCAAAGAAAAAGGTCCAACGCTTGGTGGTAGCTATTCTATTGCAGGCTTAGTCGTACTGGGAGTCGTACTGCGAAGCAGGGTCTGGGAGGCGGCCGTACACAGCGCGGAGGTCCGCGATTACAAAGTCGTGGCCGTTGACGTTGGTCGTCACCTTCTTCTCGTCGCACTTGGTTCTCGTCGGAATGCCAAAGGCAACGACGCCACCATCTTCGTGCTTGACGCTGTCGTGGTACTGGCGGCGCACCACGATCGCGTCCAGCAGGACGCAGTTGTCGCCCGAGCACGGCTCCAAGGCATCGCCCATCTTGGTGCAGTGGCATGCTGCCAGCGACGGTTTGACGTCGGCCTCGCCATCTGCGGCTGAACGCACTCGCACCCGCGTGTGGGGGCCGCGGTTGTGCGGGTGCACGTACTGGAGGTGAAAGCCGTTGGAAGCCCGCAACGACGCAAGCAGAACGTGCACTTTGGGCAGATCGACCCACGTGTCCCGCAGCGTCCGGAGAGTGCACGACGGCTTGACCACGCGAAAGTGGCGGCGTAGCACCGCGAGAGAAAGCAGGTCGTCGCTGGGCGATATCGTTGGGCTGAGCTCCTTGGAGCGGGCGACCAAAGCGGCCCGGAGCTTCTCTTGATCGATGCGCACGTGCGCAAGCCGGTTCTCCGCGTCGTGCTCGGGAAGGAACGCGCTGAAAGCAATCGGCAGCGACGCGTCGCGGTCGGTCGCGCGCACCGCCATACCGCACGGCAGCCTACGAGTGTCCATGATCCAACGATCGCGTCGACGGTCGAAATTATGGCCTACTCGGCTTGCACGGCGGCTTCTGCGGCATCGGAAGCCATCAGTGTCTGGCAAAAGACGTCGCCCGTCGAGCTCACTTGGAAGACGTCGACGCAAGATGCGCCGTGCTTCACCGAGCCAAACGCGTTGAGAAGGCCTGCAACACCGACCAAGTGCAAGGACGGACTTGTGTCGGGCAAGTGGACATCGAAAGGCGCCATGTCGACGCCTACTTGGCTCTGCGAAGAGAGCGACGACGCCAGAAGCGGCCGCAACACTTCGCTGCCACTCGGGTGCGATGACGCAACGTGGTAGCTGTGCACCGTCACCTTGTTGAGGACCGACGTGCCCGAGAGCAAGAGCGCTAGCCATATATTGCGATCAGCTCGACATGTCACGGTGACGTACCTTGGTTCTTGGCGCCGGACGAGACGTCGACAATATCCAAAGGTCCACTCATCGGTTCCTTGATGTTGCAGCGAACGCTCGCTTCCGGGAAAAGCCCCGTGTGCGACCAGTGTACGACCGACCGACTGCTGCTGCGCGTATCAAACACCTCGAGCGAGAGCCCCGTGCGCACCACGTACTGGTACGTACGTGCTCCGATACAATTATCCATCGACAGCAACCCAGTGTACTGTACCTCGGGTGCCGCTTGACGTCGTAGATGGTCGTCGCGCCGTGTGAGTTGTAGATCCAGTTGCGATTGAAGCAGGCGGGCGACGCTTGCCGCGTGTCCAGCGTCCCAATCGTGTCGGTCGCGGCCACCCAGAGCACACAGGGATGACTACATCCGCAGAATGAGCAACGTCTCATCAGACACGAGAGAGGGTGACCTGCTGTACACGGCGCGCGTCCACTGCTCCTGCACGGGCGGCCCCATCGAGCGCAAGCCGCCTTCTGGCGTCCACAGAAGGAACTCGCGGTTTTGCACGATGAACATGGCTTCGCCCAGCGCGTGCGGACTGCAAGCGACGTGTTCGAGCAAGTGGTTGAAGCGCAGCGTCTCGACGATTTGAACGCTGTTGTCCACCGACGAGAGCGCTGCAATGGTGGCGTTGGCGTCTCCACGGGCGACGACGGCCGGGACGTTGGGGTCGCCGAGCGCCTCGAGCTGCCGGATCGGATTCGTCGTCGAAGTCGTTGGTGCGTAGCGTATCCACCGCTTGGCCTTGGATCGATGGCTTGGCTGCGACTCGCGCCGAAAGCTCTGGATGTGCTGCATGAGCTCGCCTGCCGGCGTCCACAAAACCTGGTGCGCACTCGTCGTGTGCGTTGCGAGAGTGTTGCCCTGGCGCGCGCTGCGGAGGGCGCTGTTGGCGCGGCCGTTCCTACCACCATGCACGTAAGATGCGCTGCATTCGATGAGACGATGAACGCACAGGATCTCGGTCTCGATATGGTCGCGGGTCTCCGGGTGCAGCTGCGAGAGGTTGTCCTTGAAGCGCTTGTCAAAGGTCGAGAGCTGCCGTGCGGCCCAGTTCTGAACGTAGTTGGCGTGTCGATCCATGCTGTACCAGTCGCGGTTCGTGTCGGGTCGCTTCAACGGGTACGCGGCCACGTTGCGGAAGAAGACCCGCGGCGCGCCGACGGCTTCGAAGCCAACGACCGCGCTCGGTGCATTAAGCAACGGCACCGACGTCGACGGAATTGCGTCTGGCGACGCATGTACGAGGCGCTGGCTCATGCCTAGCTCGACGACCGTCGTCGGCTCGTTTGGCAGCGCATGGCTCCACAGCTCGCGCTTCATGCTCGACTCCACCGGTTGGCTGGCCTGTCCGAATCCGGACAAATCCTTGTCTCATGCCTGGTAACCGACTGACTAGTTTCACGCAAGCCTTGTGGCTGGGATCGCAATGCTAGAAGCTAGCGACCTTGTGAGACTGCACGAGCTTGTCGATTGCGATGATGGTATTGGATGCGATTTTCTACACGCTTTGAAAAAACAGGAATGCTCGTCCTTTGGTCGATGGCCCCACTTCCACGATGCGAGTTGGGTGCATGTAGACAGTGCGCTCGGGAAAACCAGGATTCCGTCGATCCGTGTATCCGGAGGACAACCAGTGTTTTGCTTGGATCACCATGAGCAGCGACGACAGCAAGAGCGCTCCTGTGGCGGCGCCGGCCATGGACGCCAAGGCCATGAAGGTCGCCAAGCGCGCCAAGAAGCTCCAGAAAGCGTCGACGCCTATCGCGCCTGTGAGGTACAAGCGTCGTATCGCAGCTGGCGCCTCAATGCACCCGATAGAAAGCTTCCGGCGTGGCTTACTCCCGACATCGACCTGTTTGACTTTGATTGTAACCTAACGCACCCCGAGTTCGAAGGCCAGGCGCCGCGCTCATTGCCGAGGCCAAGGAGGCCCGCGTCAAGCAGATGCTCGTGCCCGGTGCGACGCTCGCGGAGAGCCAGCAGTGCTTGGACCTCGCACGGCTGTACCCAACGGTTTGTCGATCGACAATGCATTCTCCTTGACAAGCTTTGGTCGCAGGTGCTCTTTCCGACGGCCGGCGTGCACCCGTACAACGCCACGTCGGCGTTCGACCCGGCCGCCTTTGCGACGCT